AACCGCAGGCCCATGCTAACACTACAGTACCTGGCCGAACAGATAACTAACATGGAACTGAAACATCTCGACTCCCTACTCATGGTTCTAGTGGATCTTAACAAAGCTAATTTCACACAAGAACTGCCCAAATACAAACAGCACGTCAGTTGTCCCACCTGGGACAAACCCACATTGGACCACTGCTACACAGCAATAAAAGACGCCTATCGCTCTGTACCTCACGCAGCCATCGGTCTGTCTGATCACTGCATGGTCCATCTTATCGAACAGACAAAGTCAGAGCTACAGGCTTGCTTTGACTGCACAGATTGGAGTGTATATGAGGCTGCGTCTACAGACCTGGATGAACTCACTGACACTGTGACATCATACATCAGCTTTTGTTAGGACATGTGTGTGCCCACCAAGACCTTCTGCACATACAACAATAAGCCTTGGTTCACAGTAAAACTCACACAGTTTCATTGTGCCCAAGAAGAGGCTTACAGAAGTGTGGCCAGGATCCTGTACAGGCAGACCAGGAACACAATGACAAGGCAGATCAGAGCAGCAAAGAGGAGCGACTCTGAAAGCCAACGACCCCTCATTTGTGTGGAGAAGCCTGAAAAATATCACTGGCCACAGGGAACCATCACCCCCTCCATTGTGGAAGACCATCAACTGGCAGACTGGTGTTTCACTGTAGATTTGAGAAGCAGATCCCCCCCCCTCAACCACCTCAGCTCAGACCCATCAGCCGCTCCCCCTACAATCACCACCCTTCTTCCCAGCCCCCCACCCCTGAAGATCTGTGAAAAGGATGTGTGTGGCCTTTTTTTTTTTAAACAAAATATCAGAAAGGTACTAAATCAGGTTCATGGTACTCGTAGGGGAGTAGGGGGTGGGGGTGGGTGTTTGCTGGGTTGTTGCCTGTGATTGTTTAAACATAAGCATTGTCACATCTCAAGTATTAGCATTACAAATGCTGTATGTGAACATACACTCATACTGGTTTAGAAATAGCAGACAAAGCAGTGAAGACATAACATTCCTACAAGCCTATGTTCTGCTCAGTTCAACAACAGTTTGATGAACTTGATCATACTAGAGAGTTCAGCCCTGCCCTCGTGCCAACGCTGACCAACACAGGGAAAAATACAGTGGAAAAACAAAGTGGAACAACAACACATCAGCCCTTCAAGTTTCACCTGATTATGGGTATGGGAAGCTCCAGGCTATGGCTTGTTAAGTTCCTGAAGTGGGAAAACACTGTTGGAGGGGGAAAAAATCGGATTTGGGCCACTTCAGCGTGTAATGTGAATGTAGCCCAAACTGCTCCAGGTTCTTGTTAAAACCCTTGTAGCAGTGTTCTGAATCAGCTGAAGACTAGAAATTGCCCTGTAATTATTGAACACTGAAGGATCCAGGCTGCATTTCTTTAGAAGGGGCTTAACAACTGCACCTTTCAGTGATTGTGGAAAAAACGTCTCATAGGAGTGAGCCACTGACAATTTTCAGCACATCCATTTCCAAGAAACTACAAACTTTTTTTTTTGGATTTTTAAAGAAGCTTGTTGGCAGGGTGTCTAAACAACAGGTGGATGAATTTAGGCTCATAACCACATCAGTGTTTTAGCAATGACAGCATTAAATGTTCACATTCTAACAGTAATAATGGGTTGCCATGTCTCATTCGTCCTTAATTTACCAATAGACTGAAGTGTGTTATAAACATGTATTACATGCAATTCATGAGAATCTGTTGTTTCTTCATTTGTGTCTTTTTTTTGGTAAGAAAGAGAGAAATCTGTACATAAGGGGGGTTCTTGATGTTAACTCTGTGTTACTGCAGGTCCCAGTAAAGACAATGAGAGAGAGAAAGCTGTTTGTGACTGTGGTCTTTGTGATATCATTACATAACCAAACTGGTCCTGTATGGCTGCAGCAGTGTTACATGGAAGAGTTTCTGCTCTGTTTGATGTTTTATATTTTGTCACAAAAAAGGAAACATATTTTTGGGTCCTTATGTTTAGTTCAAGGTGGGCCACAAAAAAGTAGCCCCCTGTATATGGAATTAGTGGAGATGGACCATGGACCATGATGTCCCACATGTTTTAACTTCACTACAGCTGGGCCCTGAGGTGGCTCTCCTTCAGTTTCTGGCATGTGGTGCTGTGTTTTCTTGGTGTTTTGGCTCCTCTTGCATTTTAGCAGGATGTAAAATAGGGTGGAGATAAACAGTTTTACTCCTGACTTGATGAGGGAAATTCTATCTCCCCCTGAAAATATGTCTGTGGTCCCAGAAAGAGTTAAATTTGTCAATGAGGTGCACTCCATGCAGGGTAAAACTAGTCTTGTGTTGATTGCCAGCTGTCTGCTGAAGCTCTTGACTCCTCTTCTGTTGGTAGAGGGTCACTGATAAACACCTCAGTTTTGAAGGAGCTGAGTGTGTTCAGTAGATCAGTGAAAACTCACTTCAGTGCTTCTGATCGTTATTTTGCAACGCCACTGGCCTCTATGTGTACTATAATTTTTTTTTTTTTACAGATAGTTTTGTGGCCAAGATATTAGGGATTCTTTTCATCAGAGATCATATCCTTGGGAAAACAGCAGGTTCTGGTATTTTTGCTGCTTGTGCCATTTGAATTAGTAATACCAAAGTCACCCACAATCAGTGTTTGAGGCTCAGTTGTTAGCTTTCCTTGTAGCCTTTGGCTTTGGGAATTACTTTCAGTTCTTACCGTGCTGTGTGAGAATGAAAGGTTATCCAGCTCATCTGAGGGAGATCCAGGGTCCTCCAGCAGCGGGACTAATCTGTTGTGAAGTTGTCTGCTTGGTCGTAGGGGATGTTTGCTGCTCCAAGAACTCTGACCTTTGCAGCTGTCCACTGCTGTATCCTAATAGGAGCGGGTTGAAAGACCAGGGACATGAATGTAATAAACATTTTATTTTGAGTATCCCATCTTTGGGCTTGAGCACAAAAAAAGGAGGTGAATTTAAACCAGAGGTGATTTCTCAATTTCCTTTTTATACTATACAGGCACTTCAGAAGGTAACAGAGCAATTTTCATATTTTTAATATAGAACTGAGAAACCACTGACTCTAGGGCCATTATAATACGTTTTTCTCACTATCAGTTATCAGGACATTAGAAATATATGTATAAAAAATGATGCTATGAATTGAGGACATTTTTGGAAAGTGAGGACATTTTGGCTGGTCTTCACTGTCTGAACCACCTTTATGAGAGTTAAGACTTGGTTTTAGGGTTTAGGTTAGAGCTAGATTTAGGTTAGGTATAAGGGTTAGGGTTTGGCATGTCACTGAGAGTCTTCGCAAGGATAGAAGTACAAGTGTGTGTGTGTGTGTGTGTCTTCAGTGGCAAGAAAAAGGAATTAAACTCATTGGAAACGAAAGGACCCCTAGACTAATGACATCAGAAAAAAGCTAATTTGAGTAAGGAGTTAAAAAACCTGAAGTCGATTTAGTACTTTGGCTACTCTGCCTAGAAGTGGGTTCCCAGCTAAAATGACTCTAAAGGGGTAAAAAAAGAACCCAGGGTAACAACTAAAGGGTTAAAGTATTATTGGATATGATTAAGATCTCTATTCATGAGCCTACCATACACAAATTATGGCACATGTTTGCACCGAGCATTGTATCCATGGCAGGGCACTGCTCACCAAAAAACAGCATTGCATGCCTGAATTATGCCAAAGAGCACACTGGGAAGTTCGACCAGTTATTAAATATATGGGATCACTTACTTGTCCTGTACTTGACCAGTACTATACATTGAATGTTACTGAGTTTGTTCAACAAAGATATACAAGATTATAATTGTTTGTGTTATTAGATTATTAGGAAATACCATGGAGTTAGATGAAAATCAGGACACATTTTATGACCAGTGAATGCAGAAAACCAGGTAACTGCAAAGAGTGTACTTCATTTTTCTTGCCAGTGTATGTTTGATATCTTTAGGGTGACTGCATTCATAAACTTGTGTTCATCAACCCTAACATATTTAGCAGGAAACTAAATGAAGAGACTTAAATATTATTAGTAAGGTACTTGTAAAATTTAAAAGCAAGCAGTGAACAGAGGCAAAAATGAATGAAATGTGTCCTCATGTGTAAATGCAGCAACATATAAACAGACGACTGAATTCTGACTGAAGCGTGAATAAAGTCAAAACAAAAGGAGGTGAAAGCACTGACCACCTTATCCAAGTATTGGTTTTACGACTTAACATTTAAATGACTTAATTTTAGCTATAGTCTTCAGCTGGAGGAAATTAGTGTTACATAACACGTCTCATTAGCTACTGAATTAAATAATAATATTTTTGTGCTCATTTTCATTATGGTAAAAAAAAGGCAGGAAAGGAAAGAGCCCTGCTTTAGAGGTCATGGATATTAGTGCAATCATCAAGACTGTAGACACTGTCATAACTAAATAGTGTATGGTTTGAGGTGAGTAGGGAAATGCTCACATATACTGTACACTAGAACACAGTCAAGGCTATTTGCATAATTTTATCACGATTACCAACTTAAAGCCATTGTTTGCACAAATGTATCTTCTAGTGAGTGAGCACAGCAGTATTACCACAGTTGTGAGCTGTATGTGAGTGTTTCCTCATTTTTTGTGCTTATGTCTGTTTTATTTATTGCAGTGCTTATGTGTTTTATGTTTAATCAGTAGGCCACGTGCCCCCCCTCACACCTAGTAGGAGTCCTGTGATTTAGATAATACTATTTCTGTTTTATTGTGCTTATGTTTGGTTATTTTTATTCATTGCATTTGTATAAAAATTGATGTTTTTGTTAAAAAAAATTGTTATTTTTAATTCTGACCATTTATACCACTTACATTTGTTAACAGCTCACATCTCTCTCTCTCTGTTTTTGGACTTTCCTGTGTTGAAGGGAGTCCTGTTGTTTTGAGGCTGAGAATTAAGTGAGAAATTCAGTGTGAACTCAGTTCATCTACTGAGCAAATTCTCTGAGTGAAAGTCCCAAGGTGGCCTAGCTGATATTCTGGCCTGCAAAATGATCTGGTCCAGCCCTCTTCTGGCTTGGTCACAGGTACGTAATCCACATCAGCCAGCAATAGTCGCTTAATCATTATGTTTTGACAGTTCCTAATGTATTGAACTGAAGGTTTGACAACAGAGACTAAAGGTGTCAGCACTGAATTCACTATTCAGTGTTCACAGGTCACAAAACCTGAAAGACAAACTAATACTGTGGATTTTTGTTAATTACATTGAAAAGGGTAATGACAGTTAGTTCAACTAAGTTTCAATTAAGGAATGTTTTTCATATGACAGCACACCGTGCACTATAACTTTCTGATTTTCTGCCTCAGAAATACTCTTAATGGTTGAGGAAGGCTGGAGCACGTGAATAAAATGTACATGACTTTGACATGTTATTACCGAGTCATATGAGAATGACGAGTACCAAAAATGATAATGAGAATTGCTAATGGAAAAAAAAAAGAGTATCAACTTAAGGGTGAGAGAGGGATCAGACTTTTGTCAGAAGAAGACATTGCTGCTACATCACTACCTGAGAATTTGGGGTTACTGTTGAAGGAGTCAGTTGACTTTAAACCAAAGTAAAATAAATGGAAAGTAGTGCTCACCTGTGAATAGCTCTAGTTCTGTGTTTGAGGGTAGCTAAGGGCTCGACTATTGGAACAGGCTACTAAGTTTGTTGTTGTTGTTTGTCTGTTTAATTCAAACCCAAGGTACAGTTTTCAGAATCAGAATCAGCTTTACTGGCCAGGTGTGTTGAACACATGAGGAATTTGACTCTGGTACAGTGGCTCTTGTACACACAGTGTGGCCTTGTTCTGCAACACAGAAAGAATGTGATAAAGAATGAGGCAAAACCAGGGTTACCATCGGTTTGGCATGTCGGAGATGGAGAGCGTTAAAAGCAACCAAAGGACTAAAATTTGATGTAGATGTGACTTTCTTCCTGCTAGACGTGTAAGTGCTGTGGCTAGTTAAAGTGTATCTGTCAGCATCATTAGCAAGTTAACATTAATGTTTCAGTTTTGTACCCTTGTACTGAATTATTCTGGTTGTAATTTGGAGTCATTCCAACTGACTGCAATGTTAGTGTTTTGTTGTCCAATTAGTAGAAACCAGTGCATTTTCCTGGATTAGTAGATGAAGTCATTTTGTTCAGTTTGCTTATTTTTGCTTGGTTTTGGTCCAGTTTATGTCAGCAGTCCATTTAGCATTGCAGTGAGAAGTTGTTAAAAGTACAAAATTAATACAACTAGAGAAGGAGGAAGTTTGTTAATCAAGGAATTTTAAAGGCAGCATCACTGGTATGTTTGATTGGCAGTTTAATGATATTGCACTACTATTACACAAGGCTGTACACTGTGTTCATATCAATTGGAAATAACACAGGTGGCCATAAAGTAATTCCACACACGGTTTGAAGCCGACTGGTTGGTTATTCCAGTATTCTATTTATTGATGATGGCTATGAGAAATCAGAATTACCCCCAAGCCAGTTCTACTGGTAGAAAATCATATTATCATCACCATTTTTGAAGTGTAAATCTCATTTGCTTGCCTGATAAGGAATTACATTTGGGTTTGAATTAAAAAGATGTTGTATTTTATGGTACAAATGAAGTGAATTCATTTATACATAGCATATTTTAAGCACCTGTAGTCAATGGTGCCTCCTCTCTCTATCTTTAGCTGCACATCATTCACAATGCACCTCCTGTCCTTCAGACACAATAAAAGACAGTGGACAATAGTTTACTTGAAAAGAAAAATTTAAGCAGAATAATGAAGAATAGTCATGTGGTTTAGACAAACTGAATCTTCCCTCAAGGTAAATTTAGATTCATTAAGTGATGAACAATGAGACTACCAGTATAGATTTTTTTTTATGTACTTTATAATGTGTGTAAATATTTTTCAGGTCTGAGTAGGTTTATAAGTTTTACAGTATTTACTGTACCATTAATTACTTGTTTTCACTTTATGCATGCATACTTATTGCTTGTATTGGTTGTACTATAGTGTACAGCTGCAGGTACAGTAGATGGGGCAGAAAACCCAAGAATGCAGTTAAAATAAAATGCAGCATGCTGCACAGTATTTCACTGATAAAGAGCAGTGACAGGGCAGCTTTAAATGCACACAGAAAATGCTGTCTTTGTCTGACTTTAAAGTGATGACAGAAGTTTTGAAAGTGTTAGACAGTTAAACTGTTGACACACTTACTTTGTTTTGATTACAGTTTGTTATCATTATTTCTTTACACAAAGAGACAGCGCTCTTAATGAATCCTGAGCAGAGGAGATGGATCCAGCGTCAACACCTACTGTAAATAACTTTTCAAAGTAATTATTCTGCTCTAATTAGGTAGGAACCTGCTTCCACACTTAGAAACAATTCTAGGTGAGAAATAATACATTGATTTTATGCTTCAAGCTTCTAAAACAAGTCAGTTTTTGCCAGATAAACAGCCAGTAACATAATTAGCAAAAAGAATGTGAAATCCCTTCTTCACGGCAAAGTGCTGTGGGCAGCTGAAACAGAGCACAGCAAGAAGGTAAGATAAGCACATCCAACAGATGTGATGCTTGACTCTCATTTCTTATATGCCCTTCAAATTCAGGTTACACAGATTTTACTTTGACCCACTGAGCTTGTTTTTCATGTAGTGCTCCCTGACTGTTGGTAGAAAAATAAACAGAAAAGTATAAATGATTAGTGCACAAGACATTTCAGCCTGAACTCTCTTTTGTTAATTTTTACATTGCTGAGGGGGATAATGACGACATGGCATTAGGTAAACATTAAAGCCCACATGTTTAAAAACCTGTCTCTAAACCAACAAAGTAAAGTTGATGCAGTCTATTGAGCCTCTGGAGCCTGTAAACATTATTAACCGCCCAGATTCTAGGCTTGGGTCTTGGGTTTCCTCTGGTAGGAGGTGGTTGGCCATATATAAATTAAGGACAAAAGTCACACAGTCCCACATCATCACTCTTCGGGCTCTATTAAACATGAGGTCTGGATTCATTCATTATCTGCCAAAATTTGCTCAGGCTACATAAACATATCACTCTTCGGGCTTTATTAGACATGAGGTCTGGATTCATTCATTATCCGCCAAAATTTGCTCAGGCTACATAAACAAATGCAGCAGATAAGGTACCGGTGGAGGACCCCGACCAAACAGAGAAATCTTGCTTTGTTGGATTAATATCAGTAACTTATCAGGTGAGTTTGTTTAGAGAAACACTCAATTTCCTTTGTCTTTATTTAGTTGTAGAGCTGTGATTAATGCCTGCCTGGCAGTCTGAGCTACTTTGATTGGTGTCTCCATTCTCTGAAAACACTGCTCCATACATGTAAATGAGCCGGGCAAATTTAGTAAGGAACACTTTTCAATATAATGTCGCCCAGAGCGCAAAGTACAAAGTACAATGCACAGCCTTTCCTTTTGTGCGCATTACATGCTTGGAGTTGTAAGGTTCACATCAGGCCAGCGGAAAGAGGGTACGATGAAGGTGCTTTCTTTCATTCCAGGAATTGTGACTACTGATTGCAACCCTGAAAGTGGAAAAGAAGACACTGGATGTTTTTTTTTTTCTTTTGTGACATGAGGGTAGGTCAGAATGGAAAGGCAATTTCTGCTTCACACTTCAACTACATAATGTCTCATTTTTCTGTCTTATGCATACTGTATGTGCAACTTCGGTATATCAGACGTTGCTATTTTAATTATTTCTGTTCACTGCTCAGCCTCCATTGTCAATTTAGTAAGGTTTGATTTCTGTATTCTTCCCATGCTTAGGGTGGGAGAGAGAGAAATAAACTGTGTTCCTTGGTGACACATGTGATACAATGCATTTGCAAGCTTCATTATAATGTACTGAAAAGTTCCAATTCATTTATAGGAACTTATATGGAAACAGAAAACTCTGTAAAGACTGGGAGAGAAACACAAAAAAACATCTTATGTAATAAAATGTACTTAACCTGTAGTCTATTAACCAAAGTGACTACCAGCAGCATCAGTTGAATCGACTCAGCTCACTCTACATCCATAATCACAATGCATAGTGCTCCACATAAAAAAAGTCAATAAGTGGACAGAGAGAAGCTGTGGCATGAGAACTATTTGGAGGCAGAGGGTGCACGCCGCTTTCTGTGTGTCAGTAATTACAGTATTTCGACTACACAAGCAACAGTGCCTCACTGTGAAGCTGCATCGGCGCTTCTCTGGTATGGTTAATTCTCACTGTAGTATTTCACATTAAGGAACACAGGAAATGATTTTTACCAAGAGCTGAACAGTCACAGCATTGGTAGAATACATTTTGTTAACCCTCGAATAGCTCTGAATTAAAATGGGAAAATAATGATGCTAGATAGTAATGAGGTAGGATGAAGCGATGTTTGGTACGAGAAAGAATTACTTACAGAGCCACAGAACGATCCATTTATTGGTCTTTTTATGGGTCATTAAAGTACTACATTTAACTGAATGTAACATTAGTTGCTTTGGTAAAACAATATTAAGGCAAACAGTAAATGTGTGTCATTTTTATTGGTAGTTTCATTGTACAAACCTCTGCAAAAGAATTAGCGCATGCAGGTGCAGACATGATTACTGTGTTGACTGATCAGTCATTTTGTTTGTTTGTTTGTTTGTTTTGTTGGTGGGGGTGGGGCATCAAGGGCAAACACTCTCCCAGAATCACAAAGGCCGGTGTTCAAGACTTGGTAGTGATGCCAAGGCAGGATGAACAGGCATAGCTTCTTCAAGTGAATGCTTTCACTCAGACTCTCTGTCACACATCGTTTGATTTTGTCTTGATCATAGTTCATCTTGGCTGGCTGAAAAGATCAAAACTCCAGCACCATTAGCAGTATGTAGAACAACTTTATCATAAGACCAACACGCTTTGAGTCATGATGAAGGTTTTCAGTTTGTTTTTCCTCAACACTGGCAGTGGGTGACGTTGCGTCACAAGTTTCTGCTTAACTTGGTTAGTGATTGTTTGTTTCATAAATGTATAGGGTTAATTCAAT